CCCCCCCCCCCCCCCCCCCCCCCCCGCCCCTGCTTACTCAGGTTGCCAGGCAACACGTAAAATTCCAGTGTTCTTTACATCCAGAGAACTCCGGGCTTCTCTCGGTGCAGACCTACAAATCATCAAGTCCTCCATTAGCTGAGCTGTCAACAGAGGCTAATGCCAGAAGACTCAAGTGAATACAACATCAACAAACAAACAAACACCACAGACAAGCTACAAGCAAGTAAAAATACCCAGAAGAAAAAGTTATTTCATAAATGGAAAAAGTCGAGATGCTTTTAGGGAAGTTGAAAAATTTGATTTTTTTAAAGCATGAAGGGGAAAGGGGGTGGGGGGGAAACTCTTTCTCCAGACAGGACCAGCCTGTTTGTGTGACTCAATTCAACCTTCCTACCCATCATCTCAGGGACATTTAGTGTTAATGCAGCTATCCAGGCTGGAAATGGCAGCAGGTGCATCTTGGATAACTGTTAACGATATTCAGCACCTGAGCTTGTCCACATAGAGTGCTGCAGGAATGAGTCCTAAAACACGGAAATGAGTTTCACCCTTCCGGTTCCCTCATCTTGAAGTCAATGATTTGTCTGTTTTTTAATGGGTTTTTGGTTAGATATCTGAAAAGAGGTCTGTGGACAACACAAGCTTAAATAAATTTTGTACATCGTCCCAAAATTTTGAATTAAAAAGGGCATGGCTATATGAGACTAGAGAGGTTATCTGGACCATTAAACGCCATCAGGCCGAACACGGAAACTCATTTACTCGCTAGTCAACCAATACAGCCAGCTCGTTGTGCTTATCCTCTTAAAACACAAACTATTCTCAGTCAAATTTTTCAACTTCTTGATTTAGATTTCCACTAGCTAGATCCGGTCACTTTTGTGGAAGAGGTAAGCAAAGTAAAATTACAAGTTGGAAGCTGGTTGTGACGTCATGTGACCGTGGTGTAGAGTAAAACGTTTTAATTCTGATGGTTGCATTTACACTTCTAAAATCAAACAAGTGGTGATAATTTGTAAAGATCAGCTTGCTGAACAAAACTTTTGTTTGCCACAGAGCTTATTTTCTGCAACAACCCCCCCCCCCCCCCCCCCACAAAAGCCATTGTCGAGGGAACTGTGGCGAAAACACGTCATCCTGCATCAATCTATTACACGTTTATAGTCCAAAGTTCAAATTTTAGGACTTTTTTTTTTACATCCATGAGGCACCGGATCGTTAAAAAAGATTTCTAAGACTCCTTTTGGTATAAAAACAGTTTTGCTTGTCTAAAACGAAAATCTTTTTATGGTTTATCTTTTAAAGACCAAGAAAAGAAAATTACTTTTTTCGCCAGAACAAAAGCTGGCAGCTCTTAAAGTACCAGGGAACAGTGAGATGAGGCATCGTTAATGTACCATCCCTAAAATAAAGCCTTATGATTACTACCATTGAACAAATAAGACTGCTGAGGTGATGGGTAATGAATAAGGGGATCTGAGAAAAACATGCTTAGATGGTCTTTACATGGCCCAGTATGTTGTGTTTGCTTTGTCACAGCATGTCCACCCCTGGACTGTTTGGTAGCTCGTGTGAGTGCTGAGTCACACTGCGCTCCTTCAGACGTGCTCTCAGTTTGTCCCCTGACTGCCTTTACAAATGAACACTCTGCTTTGCCAAATCCCTCCCTTCTCTCCCCCTTTTTTTCTCCACTGTCAGCTCTAATTCGAAATACCGTGAGGGGTCGAGAGGGTGGGGGTAATTTCTTCAAGGACTGCGGTTTTAAATTCCCCGTGCCGCATTTCTATAGAAACCACTTCCTATAACTGTCAGATTTTACTTTTCATCTCGTCATTCAGCCCAGTGTGACCTTAAAGAGACATTCAGAAAAAAGAGATGGATGGGAAAGGGCACCGCGATCAGAATTTCAAATGACTCCCATCAGGGTAATGCAGTCAAAAGCAGTGTTTACAACCACTTGGAAAAGAGGAGGCACTGATCTTATTTAAGCTCTCATGTGAGGAATCTAACTGCTCTCTTTGCACAGGTTGTATTTAGTAGATCAGTTTCCCACTCTGTCTCTGCACTGTGTGCTGGTGATATGTCATGATCAAAAAGTCCAGTGTCAGAGTTGAATATAGAGAGTGTAGCAAACTTTTTTTTTTCTTTTTGAAGTAGTTGTCGGGGAGTTTGGGGAGGATGCTGCAAAGGAGAGAGATGCTCTGTAGAAACCGTTGCTCTCTTTCCCTTGCATACCCTTGGGCCCCATGCTGAACCACCTGCTTGTCCTTGCCCCGCCCCATTCCCCGGCATGATCTCAGCAGTATTCACATGATGGAGCAGCTCTTGGACTTGTCCTTGCTGAAGGTGGAGGAGAGCAGCTCCGACTTGCTGGGCAGGTGCAGGAGTCTCTTGGAGAGGCGGCGGACGGGGCTGGGTTTATTGGCGGGCTGGAGTTTGTTCATGCAGGCCAGAGCCGCGGTACGGAAAACACTGTGGATGCTCTTCTCTGATGTGAAGGCCGAGCACTCCAGGTAAGCCTCTGCTCCGAGCTGCTTGGCCAAGGACGAACCCTGCAGCGTGAAGGAAACATGCAAGTTGAGCTCTGGCGGATTGATACGACAACCCGGTCTAGACAGGAGACAGAAACCTAGAGGACGAAAGAGTCACGGGAACAAACCTGTTCGTGAGAGATGGGAGCCTGCTTCTGATTGGACAGCTCCATGCGAGTGCACACGTCTGTGCGCAGGTCCGTCTTGCAGCCTATTAGCAGGATCCGGGTGCTGGGACAGAAGTCCTGGATCTCTGCTTTCCACTGCAAGCAGAAGAGAGAGTGTCAAGAAACAGCATTTTGTCCACGACAGCGACAGATAAAGACACAAGTAAAAAATGAAGTTGGAAGATTGTGGTGTCCGTCTGTCATGTTCACACTGCAGCGGTTAATAATATGAATACCTTCTTCAGCGCACTGTCTACTGTGTCTGGTCGGCTGATGTCAAAGCATAAGAGCACTGCATCTGAGTCGCTGTAGCAGAGGGGTCTGACGTTGTCGTAGTATGGAGAACCTGGAGAGACAAAGTCAGGACACACGCTTAGGAATGTCTTACAAACAACTTTGTGGGCATTTAACTCAAAACAACATTGTTTAATAGAAACTAAATATTTATTTTTTAAGGGCTGAATCCAGTTGACACTATTATAATGTTCTATCTTAATCATCCTCCACACTTTCACACAGTACAAACACAAACAGTCACATACACCCCTGCCAAACTGATAAGAGAGCAAATCATTTCACTGAGCCTGACGCCTTCCCACTGACAGGAATGTTTCCAATAAAGTAAACTCGCTGAGTCATAGTCTCTGCACCAATCACATCTTTCCATTATTGGTCAAACTTTATTTGCAAAACTCTTGTTTGACTTTAAAAAAAAAAAAACTACCAGATGTCCTGTGAAACAAAATCATCATCACACTGTAGGATAAACTTTTCAATAATTTTTGTTTGGCTTCAGTATCAGATAAAGTGCTGAAATACAGACACCATGTCGAAGGCAATTTTAATAATTATGTCTATTAAATTAAGTCCCTGTCTGCATAAAAAAAAAAACAATGTCTATATATAACTAATAGTTAGGTAATTGAACAGTATTCCTCTTAAAGCAGAAGTTTAACATCTTGTTATAAAGCTTATTTGCTTTTAAGTGGAGCGTTTGAATACGAAGAAATGGCAAAGCAGCTGATTAGCTTAGCACAAAGACTGGAAACAGGGGGAAACAGCTAGCCTGGCTCTAGGGTTGGATAGTCACCGAAAATGGCATCTATACTTTACTGTATTGACACCTAATGCCATCAAATGCAATGTTTTGTTTTTGGATGTACAAATTGTTGTGACTCGGCAGATTGCAGCAGTCACACTAATAAGAGACACGCAAAAAGTAATTAATTAACAGGCTTCGTTGCAACATTGTAATATACATCAGACCTATTTTACACATTTTAAACTTGTATTTACTCTATGTATATTCTCTATCATTTTAATAGTTTTACAGAAAAACACTGTATGCAAAAAAAAATTACTTGTATGCAAAAACCAGAAAATGCATTTCTCAGACATCGTGCACAGACATGACTTCTGACACTACGGCCAACGCCTTTATTAACCAGACGGGACTTTAATAACACTCACACTAATAAACCAGTCCTGATATACTGATATACACCATTCATTGCCTCACTCAGACAGCCTACCCTGATTGTTGTCTCATAAATACGACACTTTAGTGATGGGATTTTGGAGTGCAGGAAACATATCTTCCTTGTATTTCCATAAACAGCTCGGCTACATGTGAACCTTTTCCTTTAACTCTCAGGAAGGCCCCCGTGCTAAAAACAGAGCGACAGGATGTCCGCTCTCTATTGTCTTCCCTCTGCCACCTAATCACTCCCCACACACCAACACTGAGATTTAATTTCCTTCTCCGGTCCTCAGGGGCCAAATGTGCACCAGGAGCCTTCCTTGCAAATAAAAGAGGATATAATTATATCAGGAATAGATACTTCTAATAAGCTTCCCCCGAAAGTAACCGACAGTCCTGTTGTCTTGAGGAATTCTCTCCTGAGGCGTTAATGAAAATGTTTTTACAACAATATTTGAACAAGCTCTGGTTCACTCAGTCTGTCAGAATATTTGACTTAAATCTGTTATGTAGGACATCTTACACAACTACAATCTATCAATAACATCTCCTTTTCTTTTTTAGAGGGAATCAAAGCAGCCGTCACATAACTATCCAGGGTGATGTAAGGCTTGAGAAAGAGGAGGCAGCGAGATCTAAAGAGGACACAACTTCGAGCACCTACCACCTCCCACACATCAGCAGCCCCCTGCCTGGACACACAAACACACACACAGCCAAACACCAACAACCCTTTCAGTTTAAGCAAACATTAGCTGAGATGCAAAGAAACGGCCCCCCCTCTGCTCTCAAAGAAAGAAAGCAAATGGATTTTACACCAAAAGAACTACGTATGAGATGAGGCTGTGTATCTCTTGGTAAAAGATAAGATGTGCTTCTGAGTCGTTTTCTACTGGCAGGAATTGTGGTGAACATGGAGCTGGACTTCTCACATCTGTTTAGTATGTGAAAGATCATATTTTAAAATAATAAAACACCTGGAGCAATGTTATGAGAGCTGACAGGATTAGTTGATTATCAACTAATTGACAATGTTTTGCCAAATATTCTCTAGTTTCAGCTTCTAAATTAGGATTTGCTGCTTTTCTTTATCTTAAGAGAAGGTAAAGTGAATATCTTTTGGTTTTAGACCGTTACAAATGTAAACTGTGGCTTTCGGAAACTGTGATTGAAAGAAATTCAAATAATTCAAATGATTCGCTGATAAAAGAAATATCTCGCAGCCCTAAATGTTATAAATAAAGATAATAAAAATGGAGAATGGAAAGAAACATACACGAAGAGTGACGGGAACTGTGTTTGTGTTTGTGTTGCAAAAGTAAATAGGTCTTATGCAATGTTTCCCCTACAAAGGGCGACTGTCCAGAAAGTTTTTACTCCGTGGGAGACAAACACACAAACCTACATCAGTTCAGTGCTGGTTTCACTTACATAAGACCTTTTTTTAGGCGGCGCACACCATAAGGCAGTGAGGAGGTCATGCATATCTCTCTCCCTCTCTCACTTGTGCCTTCTGTTCACAGCGACCGTACACCACACACACATAGTAAGACAGGACGCACACACACACACACACACACACACACAGGCTTCCACCCCCTGCATGGACGAGGCATTCCCCTCTCCCCCGTGAAACAACCCCTCTGTAGGCCAGCTGGCACAGCTCAACTTCCTCTGAGCTCAATGCCTCCGCCATTACTGTTATGAAATTAATCTATACGGGATTGGATTTATTATTGATCCCATTTACATAATGTTTCTATATGTTTAAGGTCAATATGTTAGAAGGACAATTATGGTTCTCTGAACTGTATGCATGAGGGCTGTAGCTAAGATAGTAGCAGATAGCAGATTGGTTTCCTGATTTATTGGTAGATCTTTTTGTCTATAAAATGTCCAACAATTTTGAAAAATGCAGATTATTATTTCAAATTCCTTCCATATCTACCGACAGTCCCAAACTCAAAGATATTCCATTTACAAAGACAGAGAAAAGCAGCAAATTAGAGGAAGCAAATCCAAGAAATATTTAGTTGTTGTTAGTAGTGTTTTTACTTGAAAAATGACTTAATATGAATGATAGTTGCCGTGTCATTTTTTTTGTCAATGGACAATGTTCTTGTAATGCCTCAATACCTTTATGGGGAAGAAGTCAAGTTATCAAATATCACAAGAGAGAGTCAGATATTATATCCAAGAAAGGTGATTTGATTAAACTTTACATACATATTTTATAACAGAGTTTATAAATAAAGTAGGTATGGGACATATTTTTCAGTCCCCTTTATCATAAAGACATACTGGAGCTGCAACTATTAGCCGATTAATCAATTAGTTGATTGACAGAAAATTAATCGGCAATCAAATTATTGTTTTAATTTTACTTTTCAAGCAGAAATGCCAAGAACTAGATGATTCCAGCAACTTAAATGTGAGGATTTGAGGCTTTTCTTTGTTTTATTTTTCATTGTAAACTGATATCTTTGGGTTTTAAACTGTCGGTGAAAAAAAACAAGACATCTGAAGACGTCACCTTGTCCTCTGGGCAACTAAAGACAAGACATTTTTCAAACCTTTTAGGGTCATGTCAGTAGGTTAATTTGCGGTGACATACTGACCTTTAACATACAGTAGAATGATCTGAATACAATCAATAAGAAAAGCTCCTCACTCCGGTATAGATTCATCAATGATAATAAACAGCTCAAAGCTACAATAATGCTATAAAGTTTAAATTTAATCCTACAGATGAGATTGAAATGAAATGTTTAGGATTAAACCAGTCAGATTTGGAGGCTTTAGGGATTTAATATTCCCAGTAATAGCTTGGTTGTATTTCTCAAACTAGGTCCTCTGTTTGTCTTTGATTGTGTTTTTTGGGTCTTTTTTGTTTTCATGCTAAACTGTGGATTTTGGGTCCCACTCCCGTCTTGTTGCTCAGGCCTGTTGTTCATTGCCGGCACCAATCCACCAATGAAGATCTCTCAACAGATTTCACACGAGTAAAAAAAGCTGCTTAACTGCATCAAAACAGGACGGGCAGATAGTGACGTCTGGGTCAATGCCAGCAACACTGTTTGTAAGACAATGAGTGAGACGGAGCTTCGTTTACAGTCGTTACCCGACTCCAGGCCGACTGCGTTGTTGTTGCTGCTGGAAGAGTCAACAAGTTCCACAAACCAGCCCGTGAATGCAGCACTGAAACCTGACTTCTTTACTCATCGCTCCACAAACAGCGAAGCTTGGGGAGAATGTTAACTTGACAGTGAGTCACAGAGAGAGGGGGGGGGGTCAGGTGATCACAGTCTTGTTCTCTGCCAGTTTGATTAAACTGTGGAAATAATAAAAATTGAAATACATCTGAGCATAATCCTCACCTGATGTGTCCCAAAGGCTGAGCTCCACACGCTGGTCTTCAAGCTCCAGACAGGCCGTGTAGTTCTCAAACACAGTGGGGACATAAGTCTGCAGATGGACAAGGAAGAAAAAGGCTTTTAATCACAAATTATATAATATTATATTTTAGCTAATTCATCATTTAGAATATAAAATGACAAAAACAGGAGCAGATCAAGTCACCAGTGACTCAGTCAGTGAGTCCCAACTCCAAAAATGCAATTAATATGTTGTTATTTTAAATAAAAGACAAACTTAATATTTGTGCAGGATTGTTGACAAAGCAATAAACTACAAAAATTAGCAGTTTATTTTTAATCAATTCAGCAGTGCTCAAACATATTAACCTACAATATATCAATGATTTTACAGCAGAAGACTTCCAATCCCAACCTGAGAGGATTTTATGAAGCCCAGTCTGAATTACTAAACCTATGGAAAATATAGCCTCAAACATCCTTTACTATGTATGTCACTCTGTAGTACTATACGCTATATGGCACCACCATGGGAGTTTTACAGATATAAAATAGAAGATAGAGGATAAGATAAGCCTTTATTGATCCACAGAGGGGGAATTTGGTTGTTGTAGCAGCACAGAGACAGACATCAGTAACAAAATAAAATAAGTAGAGAATGTAAAAAATAAACAGTAGGTGGTATACAAAACTAAAACTAGAAGAGAAGTGAAAATTAGATTTAAAAAAATGCAAATACAAAAATGCGAGATAAAGTGACAATGGTTTGATTGATAATAAAAAAACTAATGATAAGAAGAATACGAATAATAGGCCTTCAAGAATAAGATCAGTATATATTTATATATTTAAATGAAGTACTACTGGTGTGTTATATGTCTCTCACACAATCAGAAACACAAAGAGAAAGAAAACTCTTCTCTAGTCTTCTGCTCCTTGAGGGAGTGATAAAGTAACATGTATTCTTCCTCGTGGGGGATTGATAATCATAACCTGTAATTTATATCATCCGTATATTATCAGTTCCAATAAGAACAGCGCACATTCAACAGATCACTGTAGACGGTGTTAAAAGAGATCTCGTACCTCTGGATAGCAGTCCTTGGCCAAAACCTGTAACATCGCTGTTTTACCGCATTGGACGTCCCCGACCAGCACGAGTTTACACCTCGCTACAAACGGCTGCGCGAGTCTTCTTTCCTTCATGATGCGGATGAATCAAGCCGGCAGACTATCAAAAAGAAACACGAGTGGGAATAATAACGATAAAGTTTTGTAAATCCTCTCGGTTCTTGCTCTTCTTATTCCCCGGTCAGTGAGTGAATCAGTGATTGAGGCAGAGCAGCAGTCAATGAGGGAATCACTGCGGAACTTTATATTGTCGCGCCATCCAATGAGCGCTGCGCTGTGCGCGAGCCGGAGGAGGAGGAGGAGGGCAGCGCACGAGGTCTCTCGTCTTACTATATGATGGTAATGGTGGATGGCGAACCGCAGGGCCATAGCCGGGATTTAAGAAATACTGATGTCCCCTTAATGCACCTCCTAAACACACACCGAACAAGACCTCTCATATTTATATTACTAGAGAGTAGTTGAAGAAGTACTCAGAGCCTTAAGTAGCACCACCACACAGTAGAAATACTCAAGAAAAAGTCTTGCATTCAAAATTTTACTTAAGTGAAAGTACATCAGTATTAGCATCAAAATAGCCGAAAATAGTAAAAGAAACCTTCTCATTATGTAGAATGGACCATTTCAGAACCAGATATCATTATTATCACTATTAATAATCAATGAATGTGTTCATCACTTTAATGAAGCAGCTAAATCGGGAGTTAATTCAAATTACTTTAGAATCTAATGATATATCTTGTTCTATTTGATGATAATATTCTGTATTGATAATCTGAATCTGTGACTAAATGTAATGTGGATTAAAGAGTACAAAGTTTCCCTCTGATGTAGTGGAGTAGAAGTAGAAAGTAACAGTTGAATTACTCAAGTAAAGTACAAGTTGTACAAATTGTACTGTACTTGAGTAAAGAAAAACTTTCCACCAATGGTACTCAGATCTTTCACTTAAGTAAACGTATAACTGCTTTAGTTTAAAAATACTCCATTACAAGTAAAATACCTGAATGATGCTTAAGTAAAGGAAAAGAAGTAATTTTGCAAAATGTAGACCCTTTTAAAGTATCAAAAATAAAAAAACCAAATCTAATTTTGTTCACAGCTGCAATAGAAACATTTACTCACATACTCTCACACACTCTCATATATTAAAATCTGGTTAGTGGGAGCATATCACGCAGAAATCCAGCTAATGAGAACTTGCTTTAAATGCCGTCTAAATATCCCGCTGATGACCGCTTTGATGTGTTTCTTGTAAATCCTTCAGACCAACTGTGAGATATACAGCCATGTGAGGACGCATGCAATTATTTTCACATGAAACATATGAGTGGCTGCATGCATCTGATGACAAAGTATAACAGAGAATTGGAGAGTGTGAGCCATTTGGAGAGGAAGTGGAGCCTGGTTGTTGTGCAGAACATAAATGGAAAACAACTGTCGTTGAGGCCTCTTTGATGCCATTAATGTACAGCGTGAAACTCTGGATGGGGACATGAATTGCACCTGCCACCTGGTGCAGAGAGAAACAAGGTAAATAGACGTCCCTCTATGTCATGCTTCATTGCAATTTCTATCTTCAAATGCATGCACAGCACACACTAATAACATACAAACACCTACTGGCACTTAATGCTTCACTTCTTTATGCTCCATTTCTCCCTTTTAGTGGTATAATGAGTTACAAACTGCATGCAAACGGTTTTAAATGTGTTACATGCTTACCTTTTATCAGATGTCTTTTCTTAGATGGAGTATTTATTGTTTGAAACTTACATATTGAATTGTTTGCATGGGAAACCCCTCCTTTAAACTTTGCACATTATTTACATAGGGGTAGATGAGAGGGAGTGAGTTTAAAGTTCCATATTTTGGGAAAATATTAACTTTCTTGCAGAGAGTTATCCTGCTTTTTTAACTTGTGCTAGCAGCTCTATGGCTCTTTAAACTGGCTTTGTTCCAGACTTAAATATCTCAACAGCTGTTGGATGGATTGGCATACAATTTAGTACAAATATTATTGTCCCCCAGAGGAAAATATGTATTGGTTTATGACTAAATACCAGCAAAACTAATGACATTCCCATGAGCCTCAGCTGCATTTTGTGTTTAGTGCTAATTAGAAAATGTTAGCATGGTAACACGCTAAACTAAGATGGCTGTGGACTTCTTACATCATGTTGGGATTTTACAAGCGTGTTACACGTTAATTAGTGAGTTTAAGAAGTGCTGCTAGGCATGTTTCAGATTGTTGGAGTGAGCCATGCTACCTGGTTCCTCCCTTTTCTGTCTTGTTGTTAAATTAGGCTAATCGAGACCCGGCTACAGCTCTGTGGTTAATGCACAAACATAAGAGTGGTATCAATCTTTTTATCTCGCTCTTGGAAAGAAAGTGATTCAGCATATTTTCCTGAAAATTGCCAAACTATTTCTTTAAAGACAATTTAACACCATAAGGACATTCCTGATGTAGACTTTATCATTCATCTGCACCATCCAACAGTGTTTGGTTATTTGATCCTTGCAGACTGAGGTTGAGGGGATTTTTTACTGACCTATGTATCCACAAGTGGTTTCTTGATTAAAGACGAGAAAACTCTGAGATGGTGGCACACTTTGGTAATCTGAAAATGCAGTGACTTTTATATCATCCTCAAACTCCTCCTGTACAGCGAACATGATGACCTATAGTGCCGGCCTACATGCTCCATGGACACCTGACTGTCTGACCTACATTTATCATAGACACTGCTGAAAGTTACATTTTCACCCGTGTTTCACCTTACCTAACTGACATTTAGTGTTTGTGTGTGTGTGTGTGTGTGTGTGTGTGTGTGTGTGTGTGTGCGTGTGTGTGTGTGTGTGTGTTACTCATGTTGTGAGGACATACATCTGGGGCCTCTACTTCCTTTTGGGGACAAAATGCAAATCCCCATAATGTTATTTAATTTTAGGATGAAGACTTGGTTGAAGGTTTGGGTAAGGTTAGGTTGAGGCAAGTGGTTATGGTTAGAGTAAGTCTCCAGGAAATGAATGCTAGTCATTAAATGTGATCTAAAGTGACGGAAACCCGACTGTGTGTGTGTGTGTGTGTGTGTGTGTGTGTGTGTGTGTCAGTGGATGTTTGTAAGCAGTATCTGTTATACCACAGGAAAACTCAAGTACAACCGTAGTTTAGGTTAGGAGCTACTTTACTGCACGCCATGTGCATTCATTTGCACCAAAATTGCAAACAGTGTGGCTAGAGAGTCAGTGTTAATCCCAAATCCATTTCAGATAATTTCAAAGAAAGGTCTAACCACATCCCCTTTGGCTTGCAGCGACATAATTTGCATAATTCAAGAAAGACGTGGTTGAGAGCTTTTTCATTATGTAAATCAGGGTATGATTAAAGAATGTTACCATAAACACAAGTGCAATCATCAAGTGGAAATGTATTGGCATGCTTGTCCATTAATTGCTCTTGAACATAACACAGTTCAGCGACGCTGCAGAGAGGAAAGTAGTTTGTTAACCATTAAGAACACAGGTATTTCACATGTAGCATATTATGCTAACGGTTGGGTAATTGGAAAGATAGCACTCACTGTCAGCATCCTGTCTGACAACAGTAAAAAAAACTAGATGGATTAACTGGAGTGCATAAGAATGGAAGTGTCAAGGTTCGTCAGTTGTGCTAGAAATTATTTTTTTTTCGAACATTAATATAGATTTGTTGTTTCTTAAAAGCTACACACATACATTCCACATGCTGCAAGTTAAGATGTAGAAAATAGAAGATAAAAAAAGTTTTAGATGCGAAATGTCTTGCCATTTTAAAGATTTCCATTTGTGTGAAATTAAGAATTTATAGAGAGAGGATTTAATGACAACAATGGACAAGCTAGGAGATGAGCCAGAATGAATACAATGAGAAAACAACTCACATGTAATGTACAGACTCAGTACAAAGGGCGACTGGTATTTTAAATCAGAAGTACAACTGAGAAGAGCTCTTATCGCTGCTCAGCCCTCAACCTTCAGTGTGAACAGCGCCACTTCAGTCAGATGGAGTTTGATACTCTGGTTGTAAATACAACAGTAAAAAAAGACACATCATTATTAAGCAATCAGTGTTGCCACTAGACTGTGTGACTAGTGGGTATAGACAAAAAGGGGCACCACTACTGCCAAAGTGCCCTTTTCAAATGTCAGTTCAAAGGGTGTCATTGTGCATTGCATACAAGTGGATCTGAATGAAGAGGGAATTGCATACATTAGATACATTTAGCCAAAAATAAACAATAGAAGACAGTTGTGCGAAAACGTAAGCACATCTGGAGCTGCATCCTAGGTCATCTCTAAAACCAGGGAGGTGTCCTTTTTTGTTTTTCACCTCTTTCCTGTGGAATCTTCATTCATCTTTTATTTTGACTGTATTTTCTTCCCATCGGCTTAAGAAAAGAAATGTTCATGAGTGTTTCAGTACCATTTATCTGCCGTGATGAAAATTACCAACACATTCCCTGCAACAGGGCTCAGTGTGGCAACTCTGTAGATATTCTAATGAAACTATACTGCCCTCTAAAGGTGAATGGAATAAATTACAGTCTCAACAAAGCCATGAAATCACAACACATTAAATAGGATACAGTATTTTTGTTGTTGTGCTGGAGAGATTATAGAATACTTATCTGAAACAGATTTCTAAAAAGAAAGATCCGAGGTGCTGACAGTATTTAGCAGGTGTCAGGAGTCTTGAAGGTTTCCCCCAAATTCACAGCAGATCAATAAGTTTAATTATTTATATATGGATGTATTTTTTTGAACACAAAAAATGTACTCACTGTATTTTATCTTTGTGATGAAGCTTGTATTATAAGATTTCCCCATAGTTGTATTTTATTTTATTAATTTGTTTTATCATTGTATTAATTATCTTGTCTCGTTTACAGTGTGGACTGGATGGCTGATGTAACTTGCAGCCTAGTAGTTGACATGGTGATTCAAAATATATTTTCTGGATTTCAAGGCAATGACAATTTTGGGTTGGTATTTATGTAACAATGTTGTGATAATAGCTAAGTTCCACATACATATATTAGACAGTAAGTCCATTGTTTTCCTCTTTTTTGAAATTAATTGAGATTTTATTTTAAAGTGTAAACATGTAACTTGCCCTCCCCATTTTTCTTCATTTTATTTCTATTTATCTTTCTCTAACGTTATTTTTTCTCCCATTTATTTGTATTTGTTGCATTAATTGAATTGCGTCGAAACACGATCATGGGACTACACGTCCCATGATCCTCTCACCAGTCGGCGACACTTCCGGCTTCACTTCCGGTTATCGGTGAACATCAACTAACGTCGATTTATAGAGTGGAGCGCAGCAACCACTCAAGTTGAACTACCTCGTAACTGATTGTCTTTACTTTTCCTTGCTGGCTGATCCAACGGAGAAGCTAATTGTAGAAAATATCGATCACTAACATAAAAAAACAGTTCCTCAATTTCGGGTGACGTCACGGGCTCATCCTCGTTTTCATTGGTTCTCTCTCCTCTGCTTGAGAGTTTTTCCCGCGCGATACTCGGTGTTAAAACAACACACACAACTGTCAGCGTGTAGCGGTAGAAAGCTAGCTTATTGTTGGCAGTTTAACGTACTTATACAACGGCTAACGGTGCTTTATTGTCAGATAATGGCATCCCCGAATTATGACTCGGCCTGTTTACCGGATTTATTGCCGCTTTACTACCGACGGCTGTTCCCCTTCTCCCAGTATTATCGCTGGCTGAACTATGGAGGAGGTGAGTATCCTGGTTAAGCTAGCGAAAGTAGTATTGGTTAAAAGACTGCAGCATTAGCCAGTGTTTTGTTATCTGTGATATAGCTGGCTGCATATGTTAGTGGCATTGTGTACTTTACTGTCTGTCTTGTCCAACATGGTGTCCCCTATTACGGCTAGTGTGTGTGTGTGTGTGTGTGTGTGTGTGTGTGTGTGAGACACACACACACAC